GGAACCCTTCCTGGAGTCAGTGCCTCAGTGTTTTTTTTTTGCCAGAAAGGCAGTGGCACATACCTAATGCCAAACAATATGGCTGAGGTAGTGGAGGCCTCCTTTATAAAGCCAGTAGCTCAATAGTTAGGGTACTCGTGGGGTGTGGGCAGAGGCAGATTAGAGATTTGTGGGGCCCTGGGCCAGAGCACAAAGGAGGCCCTCTCCACCCTTTCCGTCTGCAGCCCCCCCCCCCACCCCCACCCGGCACTCCTGCCGGGGAAATGGGTTTGGGGCACAGGGGCTTTGCACTCCTGCCAGGGAGAAGTGGCTTCCCCCACTCCCCAGCAGGAGCACCGTGTGGGTGGGCGGAGCAGGGGAAGCCCCCAACCCCATTCCCCAGCAGGAGTGCCGTGCGTGAGCCCCGCTCCCCAGCAGGAGCGCTGGTCAGGTGGACTGGGTTGGGGTGCGGGGGTGCCCATTTACCAGGGGGCCCCCAATTAGCCAGGGCCCCTGGATATGGGCCCCATTGGCCCAGTGGCTAGTCCACCACTGGGTGTGGGCACCCATGGTTTAATTCCTCCCCCTTGCTCCCACCTGAGGAGAAAGGTTTTGAACACGGGTTTCCCATCTCTCAGATGAGTGCCCAAACCTCTGGAATATAAAATAATTCTCCCTCGCTGTGACATGAGTACCCAGGTGCCTACACTGAGGCATTCTGTGAATGCCCAGAGGCATAAACTTGGGTACATAGGGGACTTTTACAGCAATAATGTAAGCACTGAGGGGTTTAGGCATCTCCAGGGTTAGATGGCAATTTATAGGGGTTTTGAGGTTCTCAGTGGCAATCCAATCTAGATTTTGGATTTAGGCACTTAACTCCCACTTAGGTGCTTAAATCCTTCTGTGAATTTGAGCCTGTATGGATATTCTTCCAAATCCACAAAGGGACAAGAATTCTTCAAGGGTCTCTGAGTGTGGCCTATGTGATTTAATATTTATGTTTTCGAGTGTCATTGTAGCAAGAATTAGTATATTGATTATCCTTTGGGCAACAATGAGTTAAACTCACTTCACTAGAACAAATCCCATATTATCTTTATAGGAAATAATAGAAGGTGGGTGAACTTGAGTGAAGACCAGAACCTCAGTGCACCCTTTTTCCAGGCAGAATTTATTTCCTAGGATAGCTCATTGTCAGGTGGAAAGAATATATTTCAGGATGACTACAATAGCAAATTTTAGTCCTATATTCACTACCCTATCATGACATGAATAAACTTCAGACAGAGTTCCCCATGCTGATGAGTTGATTTCAGGGGACATTCCATACATAAGACAAAGGTCTGATCCTGCCGTCAGTTTATTTAGGATATTCTAGGTGAAGATGATCAGACAGGTGCAAAAGGTATGGAAATCCTGTTCCGATGGTAAACAAATCATTTAAGCAATCTCTAATTTAAGGAGTTCAAAAACAATGAATTTGTCTGATTTGAAAGGCTTTTTCACACTTCCAAATTAACCCACTTACATATAATAGTTAAATATTGTAGACTGTAACGTGAACTGGGTCCTTTTAATAAAGTTTAAAGAAAATAAAAGGTTGAGTTAAAACTTAACACAAACTACTGTATAAGTGTGGTAACCAGATGAATATTTAATATGCATGTCCACACTTAAGAGCAGATCTCTGTTACAGATCTCATCTTCAGTATTCTGTTCACCCCATGGAAGTTTTCTAGATGTAGGGAGACAAAAATATTGGCTTCAACATCTATTTGGATCTAACAGGAATTTTTTTTTCTTAATGTTTCACCAACGTATTGACATAGTATACTTATTATAACCTACTTTCCAATTTACATGGTGTGCACTTATAGCTCTGATGAAAAAGAAAGCCAAGTAATTTTTTAAAATAATCTAAATATACATTTTCTTTTTAGCTCTGGTATTTTTCAGCTCATGGCTGATTTTTATTACATTTTTAATTTAGAAGAAGTTTTTTGAAAAAGGAAACTGATATTTGAATGCATTTTGTATGATAATCATCTAATTTAAATCCACAGTGAAAGGAAATTCAACATTAAAGAGAATATACCTTTCTCCGCTTATGTCATTGTGTCTCTATTTTAATATATATTTAGAGTAAGATCATAGTGTGTGGTCACTCCTTCCATAGTTAATAAAAATAGAGTTAGGACAGGGTATGAATTAAATATGAATGTTATATATTAATATTATTTTTTATTGAGTAATTTTAATGTAATTCAGCTCTTTAGTCTTATTTCTGAATTTTTTTTAGAAAAAAGTAGCTTACATTGAGATGGGTCTTCTTTGACAGCCCTAGAAATTGATATTGTCCCTTTAAACAAAGAACAGGTATAGCATAATCAGGAAATGAGCTATTGTAGTGCACACACAAATTTTATGAAAACATCAATGTGCTTCAGCATAGTTCTGCAGAGGTTACCTTTACATATAAATGTGTGCTTCAATTTCTGTTCCCATTCACACTCTGCCTGTTTTTTGACACCGACAAGAATTAAGCTAAGTTTGGTGGTATCTTATGTGATGGGAAAACTGTTGCATTAGGAAGTGGGCTAAGACCACCAACTCATTTCAAATGAGCAACCAGTCAGAAGGTAACAATTTTCTATCATTGCTAGCTTATCCAGATTTTTATTGGTAACCTGACGATGGCTACTGACAAGGAGTGCTGTGAGGGGAAGTCAAGCCTTTGCTGCTCTGGATCCCCCATGGTGTTTTGAGCTCCTGGAGCCTGAATGGAGTCCAGCCACTGTCCCAATCTGAGGGTTCCTAGGCAGCTCCCACTGAGTGTTGGAACCCACTGGGCACAGCGCTGACATTTCAGACTCTCCAGTTGTTAGGAACTGGGACAGAAGCAGTCTTGCAGGCAGAGTAGGCATCCTAGTTGGGGAACAGAATCGGGGTCAGAACCAGAGTCATCTGCCAAATACCAGAGCCAAGGATCAAGTCCGAGTCAGAGCTAAGAATGGTAGCTGATGGTCAGGAGCAAGGCATAAGAGCAGGAGGCAGAGAAGAAGCAAGCCTCAGGCACAGAGCAGGAGCAAGGTGGGAGCTAGGAACAAGAACACGGGTGAGGAAGGAGCAGAGCAGGAATCAGGAACAGGGTTGAATGCAAATTGCAAGAGCAGATCCAAGGTGGTAGCAGCAGACAGCCCACTGCCTCACTTCCTGGCTTAAGTAGCATAAGTAAGCCTACCAGGAGGCTGCATGCTTTGGGTGCTCTGATAGAACTTCCTGTGGGGCTTGACCTTCCAGGATTGGCAAGGTGCTGCTTTGCTCATCTCCACTGATGGTGATGAGAGTGTGTCAGCAATCTAGGGCACCCAGAGCCCCTAGTTCTAGACTGTCACCTTTGGATCCTTACATCAGTACTTAAACCCACTCCACCCAGAAGGTATGACGTTTACAGAGTAACTCTTTCAGGGGCACACAGTGGTTGTGAAGCAGTCAACAAACACTTTGTACAATTGAACATTGCTATGCTCTTTTTTTATTTCATCATGTAAAACACAGGAGAGTACAGACCATACCAACAATAAAACATCCTAAACACAATGTCCCTCACTAGCTCACCCTTTCCTTGGGGGATCGCCTGTGTTCAGTCACTGAAGCAGGCAGGGTCCTCCACCTCCCTTCCTTCCCTGCCCCTGCAGCAGCCTCCCTCATCTTAATCTGGCACAAAAGGGCTCTTCTCCAGTTCCCCTGCAGGAGTCCCTTTGGAGATGCCTTCTGGATAACTTCTTTTGTTCTACCATTTGGCAAATTTCCACTACTCTCAAACACCCCACTGTCCCTTCAGATAAGAGCAGAAAGCCTCTTCTCCCAGTTACAGCAAACACATTTTCCCGAGGTGTGTAACTTTGAATAAACTATCTTTGATTGCTGATCACTCACTTCTCGCTGTGTCTTGGCGGAGGCATGACACAACCCTGCTAATTTAGGGTGGATGGATCCACAAATATAGGATTTCCATGACACAGTAGTTTCATGACACGATTTCATAAAATCATCCATAGTTCAGAATTGGTACAGACAGAACCCTCAGTTTCTCACAGCCCCATATTCCATTGCAGATGTCCAAAATACTCAATCCCCATCACTGCAGTTTTTTTATTTTGCTGTCAATTATGCAGTTACTTTTAATCAAGAAATACTAAAAGCCTGACTTGTTTGCACTCAGGCATCATTGTTTAAAGATGTGTACAAATTCATGCAACATGCAGTTCCCTTTTAGTCAGTTACAGACACAGCCTCTAGAAAGGGTAGTGCCCTTTGTGGAAACCCACCTGCTCTTACTGAACATTCACATCTTAATAAGCTTGATTTGTTTCTGTGCAGTCTTACATGACTTCCACTTTAAAAGACTGCATTCTGTACTTGCTTTTTGCGAAAGAGAATTTTAACAAATGGCTTTTGTTATTTAATGAAGATGAATAAAAGAATAAGGAAACTGTAAAAAAAAAAATCTTTTGCTTTTCTTTCTACCCAGTGATTTGATAGACTTTATTTAGGGTAATGTAGATTTAACTAGCTGTAATGCCTGTGGTGAGAAGGGCTTTAAAGAGATTACGTCTTTCTTGTCAAATGATATTGTAAATGAATGTAAGCTGCTGGGCTTCTTTGTCACTGATGAGGTAGAAAAAGCAAACAGAGCCACTAGAAAAAGCTGATTGGACACAATACATTAAAGAAACTAGCACTGATTATCAGTGGGACATCAATTTGTCTTTTGGGCTGGAGTACCTGCTACTAATTGGTGTGAAGAGCATAGTGGTCACTGTATGTTTTAGCCCACTCAGTCCTCTCCACTATTTGCTGTGAGAGCAGGACAACTAATTGCTATTGCTTCAGTGCTAGTGAATCAACATGCCAAGCTAATAGCTGCAGATAGAGGGCAGACAAAATCCTGCTAGGAATGTACAGCTAGTTGCGTGTGATAACTATAGCAGTTGGAATGCATAGCAGAGCATGGAGAATGATTGTGTGCTTTCTGGTCTAATATAAGGTATTTTTGTTATTACTATTATTTTGTATATTATGCTGAATGTTTATTTCAAAATATACAGTGATTATGTTTTACATTGTTCATCTTGAAACTAGATAGTGAAAATTGGATGTTCTGAAGCTGCTCAGTAAACAGGCTTGGCAGAAAAAACTTGCAGTATAACCCTATGCTGTCTAAGCATGAAACTTTAAACTGCTAAGTAAGTTAATTTTTATTTAAATTGAAGTGAAGAGTTAAACTACCTGAAAAGTGATCATTGTGGCATGTAATGAAAGGCATGTGCCACATTAAATCATCTTTCAGATTTATAGCTGGAAAAAAAATGACAATGAGATGGTAAAACAAAATATTTTGGTGAAGGTAGAATACTCTTCTTCCTAAAACTCAGTCTTCTGCCTTTCACGTGAATATTATTTCCTCCCCAAAGATGAATGTTTTTGCATTTTAACTCTTTTATGCTTTGCTCTTAATATTTCTTTCTCATTGATTCATAGTTGCACTGTGAACTAATGTTTGTTTTCCTTGTTGTATTACAAGGTTTTTACTTCTGTATTGATTTTGATGTTTTGTGTTTATATAAAGGAAATAGTTAATAAGGAGATTACCAAGTAACCTGAAGCTGCATTTTGTTTGTTCTTGCTGTTTTCAGAGGTACTATTTGATTAAGCCAATTGCATGGATCTACATACAGTTTGAAGTGATGTCTTTAAACTCTGTACTGTACAATAACTATTGTGTTTTGAAATTAATACAAAGTAGTTGAAGTAATTTTCTTAGAGTTAGAATATTTCACTTGTAGAACATTATTATGATGACACTAAGAACACTACTGGCGACATTTTTATATGTAAAGTTTCACCTTTATGATATAAGAGAGTTGATATAGGTTGTTAGCAAATACTTTTACTAAAATAAGATCTGGTTATGGAATTAAATCCAATTTGGAAAATTTGAATATATTGATACTATTCAAATGTATTATATTTGCTGATAAAATGTCTTTACTCTTGATTTAATATACACTGCAAATCTAAGTGCTGCTGTTACAAGAGGATAATATGTTCAGCTTGAGTAAGATTAACTCTAAGTCCATATTTCATTGCTTCTTTTAAAGTCAGCTAATTGTCAAATATGGTAAGCTAATATGGCAGCGGGTGGAGTTGATGCTTTCTATGAGAAAAGACAATATACCACTGCTGTTCTTATTTGTTAAGCATTAACTACGGTGTGGAATCCTGCAAGCCTGACACACTAGAGTGTTTCAGATATATATGTAATTTCAACTACTCTGAGTTGAATGAAACTTGTTTTTATATATATATATATATATATATATATATAAAAGGAGATTGGAGGACAGTTGGCAGTGTTATTTGATGCATGTATCTATTGTGCTAGTCCTCAGGTTTCAGCAACATAATCCACCTGGCTTTGGAGTCACAGCCCTATCAAATAAGAATGCAATTAAATGAGAGCACTGTTCCACTTAATGATGAAGTGCTCCTCTCTCAGCTGTTGTAATGATGTGCCAAGCCCAAAGCATTTGCCCTAATCACTGTTTTACAAGTTTCCTTTGAGTGTGAGTGTGTAGGCTGCAGCAAACTTTGGAGCTTGATACCTGCTTTATAGCTATCTATTTGTGTTAAATCACTGGTTGGAATAATTGTAGTGTCACCTTATATCATCTTTGCTCAGGTGTGATAGCTCTGCCAGAAAGGTAGTCTCCTGTAAAACTGTGGTGTAAAAGATATTTAATATTCTTTGGAAAGGTTTTTTAAGCTTTGTTTTGCATTAGTTTATTGATTTACTGGTCTATGGCATTATTTGACAATCATCTCTGCTGGAAGCATTAGGCAGATGTGAAATGATTTAGTTGGGGGTTGGCCCTGCTTTGAGTAGGGGGGTGGACTGGATGGCCTCCTGAGGTCTCTTCCAACCCTAATCTTCTTTGATTCTGTGAAATCATAGTCACAAACAGAGAACATGTTTAAACAACACGAAGGCTGTGATCTTAAGCAAGGAAGTTTAAAGATAAAGGAAAAACTCCCACACTAGACTCTGTCCTTAACTTATTCTGCTATGTCTAGGTGTCACAAGAGTCTGAGTTCAGTGTGAATAGGTACCATACACAGCTGTTAACTGGTGTCGGAGCCTCCCTATTTAGTTTCCCATAAGGATAAAGTTTACCTCCACCCTTACCCTAAGTTCTTGACAAAGGAGATCTCCAGTTTTCATGCTAACCAGGCAATTTATTTACTGACGTTCTTTCAGAAGCATCACACTCAGAGATGGAGAAACTTCATTTGTCAGATGTGAAACCAGCTTTATGGTTCTACCTGGACCATACTAAATAGTTTAGGTCGTAAACACAGTTGTTTGCTGTGACTGCTGAGAGAGTGATGGTCGAGTCAGTTTCCACTCAGATGATTTCATCCTGTATTTCTTTATGCATATGTTTATGCTACCAGTTGGCTAATATGACTTCACCAACTAGGGTGTTGGCCCATTTGACTATGGTGTATGCAGCATTATCAGACTTTCTCACACAAGTACCTATTCTGGACACTTGCAAAGTGGCAACTTGGTTGTCAGTGCAGACATTTACTTCTCATTATGCTATAGCTCATCAGTCCAGGAGCAATGCTACTTTTGGATGTGTTTTTCTCCAATCCTCTGTTCAAGTAGAGTCCAAGCATACCTGTAGGCTATTCTGCTTGTGAGTCACCTACAGTTGAGTGAACATTTGCAATCACTCAAAGAAGAAAGTTACCTACATTTTCATAACATTGTTCTTTAAGATGTTTTTCACATGTCCATTCTACAACCTGCTCTTCTTCCCTTCTCTGTTGGAATCTATCCGGTCAGAAGGAACTGCAGGGAGGTTGGGGTGACTCCAACTTTTTACACCTGCATGTAGTGGCACAGAATGGCAGAGGGCACTCGAGCTGCTTTGAGGGGAACTTCTCAGGGAAAAAAAGTTCTCTGACATCTGGGCATGCACACACCTACGGTGGAATGAATAGACATATGTAACATCCCTGAGAACAAGTTGCAGAAAGGTAGCTATCTGTTTCTTATGGTTAACATAACAGGCAGCACTAGCACATACCACATGGTTGAACTCAATTACTAACTATAATAGCTAATGGTGTTTAATCCCTGTCAGTGGCTTCAGCTGATATACTGTTGCTTTCATGTAACCAGTTCAACATGAACTTTTTTTTTTTTTGCAGTGTGCATAAAGACTAACAAACCCAGTTTGACTGTCTTAGCTTTGTCCTAACGATGAGTGATAGCACATCCCTTAATGCATTGCCTCACTTTCTGATACAACTCTCTAGAAGATTGTCATAACAGGGTGCTAAGGCTCTTCTAATAATCTAACCTCTCGGTAAATTAAGACTCCTGCATAAAGTTCCTTAATTTCTGTTGGCTCAGTGTAACAAGTTTAGTTCTCACCCACCTTTGTACATCCATGGTGGTATTAACAAACCAAAGAATAAGGGGTTTGTAACCTTTATGTTGAAATGTTACCAAGTAATATTAGTTGTTTAAAGTAAGGGTGCAATAAAACTCAACTTAGTTTTCAGTTTGAACCTCTAGGTCAGTTACAGAAAATGTATTTAGTGGAGGACTCTGAATGGTAAAACCCCTCTTTATTCAAAAGAAAAATGACTAGTTAAGCAAACAGGCATGCAATTACTGTGCAATATTAGTTATACTTTCAGTCAAAGATGAAATAGTGTACCAATGGGTGATCAGTCCACTGACAACAGAGTGAAGTACAGCCTTCTAATCCTGGAACCCAACAGTACTCTTTTGATATTATTCGGAGCTCATACCAATATTAACAAAAAGACTCCTTTTATAATCCATTATTATACTAATTAACATTAAACCCACCTATTACCACAGTCATGTCTGCCACCTCCTCATTGGTTCTTGACATTACACATTATTTAAATTCACATCCGCACCAATGTCCTTTCGGTACTATCAGTGTAGATTGACTTTTATTAAAATGCTATCATTTAAAAACTCTTGCTAAAAACAGTTATAACCACGGGTCATGTCCTTGCTAACTTCAATTTTCCCATCTTACTATTGCCAAATTATCTCTAACTTTTCTCACACTGACAGGTTTCAGAGTGGTAGCTGTGTTAGTCTGTATCAGCAAAAACAACGAGGAGTCCTTGTGGCACCTTGGAGCTTATGTCCAAATAAATTTGTTAGTCTCTAAGGTGCCACAAGGACTCCTGGTTTTTTTCTCACACTAGCAACCACAAATTCCCATACTCTTCTACACTTAGGCCAAAAACTAATTTCTACTTAACATAAGCTGGAGTTACCTGGAGGGAGTCGAACTCAAGGAGTAAATTTAGGCTCAGGTTAATTTTTTGTATTGGTTTTTGACTAACACTAAAGCCGAATACCATCAATGTAGGTTTGGGCACTAGCTGAGAATCTGTGTGCTCTGTTCAAGACTGTAGAACAGGGGTCGGCAACCTTTGGCACGCGGCTCGCCAGGGCAAGCACCCTGGCGGGCCAGGCCAGTTTATTTACCTGCTGACGCAGCAGGTTCGGCCAATCGCGGGTCAATGGGGGCGGCGGGAAGCGGCACGGGCGAGCGCTGGCTGCAGCTTCCTGCCCTCCCCATTGGCCCGGGACGGCGAACCGCGGCCAGTGGGGGCCGCGATCGGCCGAACCTGCCGCGTCAGCAGGTAAATAAACTGGCCCGGCCCGCCAGGGTGCTTGCCCTGGCGAGCCGCGTGCCAAACGTTGCCAACCCCTGCTGTAGAGCATCTACTTGAGCAGGGAAACAGTGATGGGATGCAGAGCCAGTCTAAACATGTACAGGTCCATACATGGTTGAAATTGATGATATGACTGGTTCTGGATGTCTTATGAGAAATTAGTTTGGTTTCCCAGTCAATTTCCTAATAAGTAGCTATATCTAACACAGCACTCTTGTACTCTTTCTAAAATGAAACCTTAGCAGG